TTTGCCATAGATCCGACCATTATTTTGCTCCAAGATTTTACAGTTTGGTGTGCATTGACCTTTCCATCGACACTGCAAAGGGACATCACAATCAGATGCGGGATCACAAGAAACTAACTTCACTAACTCTGGTTTCACCAAGATCTACGTAAGGAGTTATGAAATGAAAGGACCCTCTCTATTGAAATGTGTTTATGGTCCTAGGGGCATTGTGACATATCAAAGGATTTTGCATCAAGTTGTGTATTTGCATGTTTATCAAGTTACTGAATTGCTAAACCCTAAACCCTAAACCCTAAACCCTAAACATGTGGCAAATGTTGCGTGAAGAAAGATGCCCTTTCTGGGCAAATGCTGTAAGAGGCAGATGCCGAGATGTATCTCAGGCTAGCGAAGGGGACAAACGAAAGCTAGCTATAAACATGACAGGATGCAAATAGATTACTAGGCTGGTCCTGCGAAAATCAAAAACCATAATTGAAAACATTGAAAATACAAAAAGAAAGGTTTATAATATTTTTGAATTTTAAGCAACCAAAGGAATGTAAGTAGGGCATGTGTTTGTAAGTTTAAAAATGCCTCAACCACTTAAATTCTCAAGTAAATAAAGCTATTTCTATTTTTGGTACAGGTAAACTTTATAGTGTGTGGGCTCATGCAATTTTGAACCCAAAAATGCACCAAAAAATGCTCGACTAGCATTATTCTTTGAATGGCATGTGGCCTTATATTGCCATAAATGGACGTACACACACAGCATAATTATTCCTTTACACGGCGAATAATCTTGGCGCGGATCGCTAACATGGCATGGCAAAGTTCGAATCACTGACATGGCACAGCTGGATCGAGGCAAGGACATGATGTGACAAAGTTCAACCTCCGACAACAAAGTCTAGAAGCTACTCAGTTTGAAATTTGTCAGAGGAATCATAAGATCTGGTTTGTCAGAGGATTTGATGTGACGTTCAAGCATGTGTTATTTTTGAATTCTCGAACTCATTCCTAGGTCTATCATTTTTGTGCGCCGTGTTCTTGGTTCCGCTGAGCACAGTGAGCGCTGCTTGTGTAAGCGGCGTTGTGGGCTGTGGTTTATGCGTCTATGAGCGGTTGCGGCATTGCGAGCGCCATTGCGAGCGGCAGTTTATGTGAGTGGCAGTTTGTGCAAGCGGCGCTACGAGCAGTTGCGGTGTTGCGAGTGGCACTACGAGTAGTTGCGGTGTTGCGAGCGGCACTGTCTTTGGTGTGGCTACCGCTTCCTCTTGATATTCGGCACTTGTGCTTCCTGGTATGTTCACCATGGAATGGCTTAGGACCACATTTAGAAATGGCATGAGGCCACATGCCATCTTGGGCCCTTGCAATTTCATGGCTAACGTATTGTCATGTATGTTTTTACTTGCCTGCAGCTGTGTGTATATCAAGATGGCATGAGGCCTCATGCCAATTTTGTGAATGCGAAATTTCACGTGGGTGTCAATAGCATGTTTGAATAATGGCATGTGGCCTCATGCGATTGAGGTTGTTTGGTATGTTATGATTTAGGCCATTCTCCAATCATTTTTTGTATGGTCTTAACTTCTTTTCTGCACTTTCAGAATGGCTTTCAGGGTTGGGGAAAAGGTTTACATTTTGAATGGTGGGAAGAGAGTTGCAAAAGGGACCCTTGTGTCTATGGATCGGAACTTTGTTATACACTGTCAAAGGCTTGGGGAAGGCAATGCTGTTGTATCAGTAGAGACTGTCTTCGATGGGAATGTGGTCGCTATTGAACGAGGAGAGATGGTCGTCGGGGTAAATGTTGTTGTTACCTTGAAAAATCTTCAGAAGAAAGCAGATGTTGGGGACAGCGCAAGTGCGACGCATGTTCCCTCCGTGGATCTTAAGAACCGTGCTACATGGATTCAGGCGAAGGTGTTTCCAAACAACCCCGAGGGGGAGGTGGTAGCTGAGGGCTTAGCCACAGTTGTCGATCCAAGAGATGCGGTTGCTAATCAAGAATTGGGCTGGGATGATATTGGAGTTGCGATTTTAGAGGTTGTTAACACAGAAGAAAACAGTCTGACTATTGGAAGCATTGTGCGGTGGAAATTGAGGCACTTAGTGTTTGAGAATGTGAAAGATTCACAATCAAACACCACTACAACTGATGACAGAACATCTCTTCATGGGAAAAGAAAGTACACCTTCCTAAAGCGCAGCCAAAGGGATCTGAGCAACAAACCGAAAAGGCAGAAAATGGCGATGGAGGTTCGAATGGTCTCGACAGTTGCTTGTTGCAAGAGGAGGTGCTGTCAATATGCTGATTGGGATGCTATTGAAAAGGAGAGAGCAAGATACAAGACATTATCCTGGAAGGCAGCTCGCAATTTTGTGTATGAGGCATTACGGTCATCTGTTGATGCTTCAGAACATCAAGTGGGGGGCATGGTCTTCCAGAGGGGTTTGGTCTGCATGAAGGCATGGAGAATCATTTATGGAGTCCCTCGAACCACATTCTACAGAATCAAAACTGAGTTCGAGGAACAAAGGGTACAACAGGCAGTCCATGGGAACGACGGTATGCACAAAACCAGGGGTCATGTTGTATATGGAGAGGCAATCTTCAAGAGGTTTGTCGAGACATGTAGCGAGCAGCAACCACATAAAACCCGCCTCTTGGAAGATGGAACACGAGACACCCAACGAGTTCTCCCTTCCATGTATACCAAGGGGGCCATATTGGAAGATGTGAATCGGGAACTCCAGAGTAATGGCTACAGGAAGCTGAGCCAATCTAGATTTAGTAAATTGTGGAGCAACAGGTTCAGGGATGTGAGTATAGGAAAGTACTCCAGCTTTTCAAAGTGTGACGAGTGCACTGCTATCAAAATGGCTTTGTCGAAGAATTCTTGCAGCGCTCAAGAGCGAGAGACGTTGGTTAGAAGGCGGCTCGACCACAATATCGAGCAGAGAAGCTGCAAGACTGCATATTATCATAACAGGATTCTCTCCATGGAGAGACCTGACTCTTACCTCTGCATCATCCACGACAAAATGGACCAGAAAAAGATGTGCTTACCTCGACTCAATCCTGCCCCCAAGGCAATCTCTTCATCCATGCAGCTGCCTATGTCTCTGTTTGGCATAATCGCTCATGGGCATGGTGCCCAGAACTATGGGAACTTCTTTGTACCTCTATGGGGTGGCGGGGGTGCAAACATGATGATTGCGTCCCTAGCAAAACACTTAAGGTCTCTGCAAAGTGCGCAGACTGAGCTGAACGGCCAACCCTTGCATAAGGCCCTTGTCGATCGAACCCCATACAGGGTTCAGCTGGAGGAGGAGCAAAGGCTTGCAGTATCGCGTGGGGCCCCATGCCATCCCAGTGAATATGTTGGCCGTCAGATTGTAGGGTTATCACGTGAGGCCTCATGCCATTCCGACGAGGCTGGTCGCCCGGTGAATGCACAGCCTCATCCAAACGAAGCAGAATCTCAAGGAAGTTCTTGCGGCTGATGTGGCCTTCCACCCCATCTTCTGCTCCAAACAGACAATGCTGGCAGTGAGAACAAAAACATGTACGTCTTCGCGTACTTGGCGATGCTTGTTGCCAAAGGCATATTTGAAACGGTTACACTTGGCTTTCTCATGGTTGGGCACACTCATGAAGACGTCGATGCTATTGCTGGTGACAAGATTGGGACAATCCATGGATCTGGATGCTTTGCGTGCTGCCATGGAAGAGATTATTGACGTATCACTGGACGCTGCAGTGTAAGTCTCGACAATTCTATTGAATTCATGTGTTTCCTTTTGTATCCACAAAATTTCTTGTGCAGTTCTTACAAAAAGCCTGGAGCTGGAGGAAAGATCATGGTGCATGGAGTGTTAACGCTGGACCTTTACAAGATCACAAAACCCAATACTACAACGGCACCTCATGAAGTTTATGAAGTGATAATGCCTTATCAAAGTGGAACACCAAGGTTAGCTGGAGGCGATGATGATCATCTAGAGAGCTTACTAGTTGACGCTGAAGTAAGTCTTATTCTTTCCACCATCTTTTCTGTCTTGTGTTAAATGTTTTTGCAGGACGCAGATGACTCAACCGAGCATGGCTTCTGGGTCTTGGTTCGTGACCGACGAGTTCAAGGATTAAGCAATCTGGTTACGGTTTTGAGAGTGGAGCCTACATTGAAGTTTAGAATGTTTAGCATGCTAACTCTTTAACCAGATACTGCTACATCAAGCTGGAGCTTGTGTTTCCAAGAAGGATGGCAGTGCAAATATGAGAAATGTTGCTCCAATCTTTCTGCAAGCTTGGGGTAACAACTGGATATATGGCGTGTATTTTCTTTTTGGCATTGTCAAAGTGGGGAACAATCGAGTTATGAAAGTGTGGAGGTGAGTATAACGTTTCTTTTCGCTGATCAAAGTTGCAATTTTTGCAATGAAACGATGAAACAAGTGCCATCCTTGAGCATTTTGTCGAAGTTCTCATCGCCGCTGCTATGACTTGTTGAAAGGACTCGAGTGCTACGTATCCAGACGGGGAGCACGTCCATGGGATGCTTTACGTGCCTCGAAAGGAGTTTACTCTGCCAAATGTGAGAGTTCCTGGATCTGGTTCTAGCGATCATACCAAGCTCTTCTTCCAGAGTTTGATCCGAATCGTTGCTGGAGATGGTGCTCTTGATTGGACCGAGAAGGACGTTCGCGAGATTATTGATAGCACGAAAGATGATCTCAAAGCTGGATTTTTTTCCGAAAATAATTGGTAGAACTTGATGGATCTATAGTTTATATTACAACGTGAATAAAAAATAATCTCTCGATATAAATTCCAGAATCATGGAATTCAAAGCATTATAATAAGACAGAAAGGACAGTGGCATATTCTATAGAATATTTTGGTAATTAAATATAAGTTCAGCGATTAGGATAAGGCCAAAGCATGTCGCGAGGAATCCCAGCCGTCCGTTGTCGACGAGCGCGCTTCCTTTGTATAAATAGCTGTTCTCTCGTGTGGAGAGAGCTCTAGGGTTTGTTCTTGCGATGGCCGCAGCTCATCTGGATGTCGATCTCACGCCACGATCTCCCAATGCGAGATTGTGCGCCAACGATGGCGGGATGTACGAGTTTTGGCTCAGCGCCCACTCCAAGATGTTGAAGGAAGCTCGGGTTGGGGCGTCGCGCTTCAGTCTCAATCCTAGGGGTTTGCTGATGCCGAAATACTCCGATTCTAATCAGATCTTTTATGTGCTCGAAGGTAAGCGATTGATTTTCTAGAATGTGAATTTTCTTCTCATGCATGCTAAAATTCCGGGATTTTCTCTCTCCGTCCAGGAAATGGTAAAGTAGGACTGACTTTTGCGGAGAGTCCCGGCGAATGCGTCAAGCTCGTGAAGAAAGGCGATGCTATCGCTGTTCCTCACGGCACTGTCAACTGGTGGTTTAACTCTGGCACTTCGAAGTTTAGTGTTTTGTGTCTCGGAGACACGAGCAAAAGCCTCAAAGCTGGAGAATTCACTGTAAGTTCTTCTTGGATTTTTCTTCTTTTTTTTTGTGTGTGTCTTGTTGTGAAACACTGATAAATCAATCCGCTTGTAGGATTTCTTCCTGGTCGGTCCTGGTAGCGCTGGACTTCTCAAAGGTTTTACTCCGGACTTCATCGCCCAAGCATGGGATGTCCCAGAAGAAACGGTGAATACTTTGCTCCATAGCCAGAAGGAAGAGAGGATTGTTTTGCTCAAGGAAGGCATTTCTATGCCGGAGACAACCGATTTGAGCAACTCTCCCTATGGAGAGTTTGCTTACAACTGCGAGGAGGCAAAGCTCGACGTGGATATAAAAAACGGAGGCAGAGTTTCCGTTGTTTCCAGCGATAGCTTGCCGATCTTCAAGCACGTCGGTCTTGGTGCTGATCTCGTCAAGCTTGATCCGGTAAGTTTTAGCTGATCACTTGGATCTTATAATCACATTTGTGAATTTCTTGCAGCATGCGATGTGCTCGCCAGGATTTTCCTCCGACTCCGCGTACCAAGTCACTTACATTGTCGGTGGAAGCGGTCGAGTCCAAGTCGTGAACCAAAATGGCGAGAGAGTTATCGATCATATGCTGGAGCCCGGCTGCCTGTTTATCGTCCCACGATTCCACGTCGTCTCAAAGCGAGCAGGAGAAAATGGAATGGAATGGTTCTCGATCATCACCACCGAGAAGTAAGTTCTCTTCTTTTCCTTCAGAGGTTCTGATCGACCCAATTTTTTGCTGGAAAAACAGGCCAGTGTTCTCTCATCTCGCTGGAAGAACTGGCGTGATCAAGAGCTTGTCGCCCAAAACGATTTGCGCGGCTTTTAACGTGGAAGATGGAGTTGAGAAGGAGCTGCGTTCTCGCAGGACAAACGACGCCATCTTCTTCCCACCCAAATAAGATGAGCCCACCTAGTCAATGCAAGTCAATACAGAGTCAACTCTGTCAATGCGCAATAAAGCTCATTGAGAATTTTTATTCCAAATAAATTCTAGGGTTTATCCGCGCGCGAGGGCGCTGCTTCGCCCTGGCCGATCCGGTAAGCTGCCAGAATGACATTCTCGGCAATTTAGGACAGGAGATTTGATTCTGGACCTGATTTCTAGCATCGAGGATTGCCAAACTCTAGAACAAACGGGATGGAAAGAACGGGAGCAAACACTCTCTTCACGATGTCTCGAATCAACGAAGGAAGAATTTTGAATGCTTTGATGCTGGAAGGTAGAGCCAAACGTTTTTTATCCTAGTGACAAAACCATTCGCTATGCTGTCCAGGACTTCTCTGGATCCTAAAGTTCTCACAGCCGATACGAGAACTTATGGTACTACCGGCAACGCTCATCAGCTCGAGAGAAGCGCTTGCCTCGCGGCGCTAAAGTCGTGCTCCAGAGCTAGAGACGTCGAAAGTGGCCGGCAAATCCACGCGAACGCGAGAGAAAGTGGTGTGGATTCGGACTCTCACGTAGCCAGTAGCTTGGTGGCGATGTACATGAAGTGTGGCAGCGTGGTGGAAGCACAGCAGGCCTTCGACAGGATTCCTCGCCCCGACGCAGTGTGCTGGAACGCTTTGATCTCGGGCTATGCGGAGAATGGCGAGGCCGAGGTGGCCTTGCAGCTCTTTCGATCGATGCAACAGTGCTGCGGAGCAAACTCACGAACTTTTGCCGCTGCGCTCGCTGCGTGCTCCACTCTCGCAGCTGCCGAAGAAGGCCGGAAAGTTGATGGGAGGATGGTGAAAGTTTTTTCGCTGCAACGAGGCATGGAAGTTCATCGTCAGGCCGAGGCTGGGATGGGAATAGATGCTATCCATCAAAACGTCTACGTGGGGAATGCTCTCATCGACATGTACGTGAAGTGCCGGAGCATGGTGCGTGCTCAAGAGGTTTTCGACAGGATGAAAACTCGGGATGTGATCTTGTGGAACGTATTGATGCTCGGCTACGCACAGGGTGGTGAGAACGAGGAGCTAGCTCTCGAGATGTTTACGAAGATGGTGTCGTGCCGAGGCTGTCAGCTCGATAGCTGGAGTGTTGTTGCTGCTCTCAAGGCCTGTAGCAATCTCGCAGCCAAGGAAGAAGCTCGGAATCCACAGGAGAAGCTCAGGTTTCTAGTCACGGGTGTGGCGATCCACGGCACAGCCGAGAGACTGGGATGTGACTCAAACATATTCGTGGCCAACGCTCTTCTCAACATGTACGCAAACTGTGGAAGCATGGTGGATGCGAGGAGAGTTTTCGATAAGATGCAGCGCCGGGATGTGGTTTCCTGGAACACGATCATCCTGGGCTATGCTGAGAACGATGAGGGAAAGATGGCCCTTCAACTCTTTGGAGATTTGCTACACTCTCGGTGCTGCGTACTGGACAGGCTGACTTTGGTGGCTGCGCTTAAGGCGTGTTGTACCCTCTCGAGTCAAGAACAGGGAAGGCAAGTCGATGGGAAGATCGTGAAGCTGAGTTCGCTGGAAGCAGGAATGGCGGGGCACTCGCTGGCATCGGAGCGAGGCTCTGATCTGGAAGACTTGTACGTGGCAAACTGCTTGGTCGACATGTATGGGAAGTGTGGGAGCATGGCCGACTCGTCCCACTCGGAGGCTTCCAGCTTCGTCACAGCTTCGCGGTGAACAGCCATGGTGATTTCCAATGCTCTCATTCGATCGTTTTCCTTGTTCTTAGCTGCAAGACTGCCGCAAGCCTTGAAAGCCGCGACGACTGTCAAGCTGGTTGGAGAAATACCACCATCGCCACCTTCGCACAAGAGAGCCTCAAACAGCTCTAGAGCAGCCTCACTTTCGTCGTTCTGTGCGTCTCCCGAGATCACTGCGTTCCAGATAACAACGTTTACGTGACGAGCAGCTTGATCGATGCGTACGCCAAGTGTGGGAGTCTGGCGGATTCCAGCAAAGTTTTCTCGAGCAATACCGGCCAGCTTCGCAACGTGGTCTCGTGGAACGTCTTGATCCTGGGCTTCACGGAGAACGCCGATGCTAGACGAGCTTTGAGGCTGTTCCACAGGATGAGACGTGAAGGCTGCCGACCAAACGCATCAACGTACGTCGCGGCGCTGAAAGCTTGCAGCAACAGTATTCCTTCGAGTCTAGGCTTTGGGAGCGAAGTCAAGGCTCTGATCTACCGTGGAGGCTTTGAGGAAGATGGAGATTTGGCTGGATCCCTGGTTGACTTTCACGGCAAAGCGGGAGACATGGTTTCCGCTCGCCAGGTATTTGACTCGCTACCGGGAGATGGTGACGAGGCCTGGAGTGCGCTGATCACCGGATACGGCAGGCAAGGGGACGCAAGCCAAGCGCTGACGCTGTTTCACGAGATGGTAAACTCTGGCATAAAACCGAATGGTATCACAGCTCTCGCAGTTCTAACCAGCTGCAGGGAAGAAGTTCTTCCACGAAATGCCATCCAGATACGGCATCGTCCCCGAAGTGGAACACTTCCACTGCGTTGTCGATCTTCTCAGCAGAGCTAACCAGCGGGTTCAAGGTATGACGAAGCGCTGGAACTTTGAAGCTTACGAAGTAACTTGGACTACCATTGCAGGCGGAGTGGAATCCAGGAGTGGAGACGCTACGCTTGTCACGAAGCAAGAATGGGCGTCGTGATGCGTGAAAGCTCTCCCGTTTCGTTTCATGTCTCCCAGTCTGCAGAGTCTCAAATTCTGCTAAAAATGCTTTTTTTTTTTTTTTTCTTCAGCATCTTCTAAACAACAAAAATGTGAAAAACCTTGCTAGCGTAGCCCAGCATAGAATCAAATATATGTTTAGCTTCTTCTAAATACCCACTCTTGGTATATGTATTAATCATATACGGCAACGGATTTGGCCAAAGCCATGTCCAAGTATATGAGCACCTCACATTTGCTTGAGGCAAACCCGTTGCAAAGTAGAGACCCAAAAAGGTGAAGTTTAAATCAGATTCTATTTGGGTTTGCAAATGCAAAGTCCAAAAATTTAACACAATAGCATACATATTGTCAATAACATATTATAAAGAACATAAAACATGCTTTGAAGTTTCTAATGCCCAAAAAAATTTATTTGGATATCTAGTTTCATAAAGAACCATATTATAATTATTTTGGATAGAAAATATTGTTGATAGCAAACAAAATGGTTTTTTTAAGCAATATGTGTTAGTAGCCCATAAAACATTTTTACCATGATAAAAAACTAGATTACCATCATGTTATAAACGAAAATGTAATTATATAAGTTATATATATATATATATATATATATATATATATATATATCTCCTAATTCACATAGATTTTTTAATACATCTTAAAATTACAATTTTATTCTAAAATTAAGACATTTTTAGTATTTGAGAAACTAAAAAATTACTAGTATAAAGGACTGATTTGGTAGAATAAAGACTAGCAAAAGGAATATAATATACTAAAAAGAACTTGAAATTTTAGATAATAATTTTGTAAATAAACTTTTGTATCCTTAATTAAACTATATTGTATCATAACTTTATAGTCTTACTTTTAAAAAAAATTGAAAAATTTATATGTATATCATTGAATTGTTAAGTAAAATATTTTCAAAACCTATACTTTCATAATAGAATGTTATTTCAGCAGAATAATCTTTTTTAACTTTAATAATAAAATTAACAATTTCTTTTAATGTTTATGTGAGGGGATGATTGCTTTGGGCTTTTCACCCCACAACTTGTATTGGTATTTAAACTTAATCTCAGCCTTGATCTCAAATTCATTCTCAGATTTGATTACAAACTTGGTCTCAGTCTTATACTCAATCTTATTTAATAAACTCTTTATTTTTTCGATTGTGATTTCAAAGGTTCCTTTAGTTTATGGCATTTTGGTGAGTTAATTCTTTATAGTGGTGTTTTAGCATTTCTATCCAGAGTGGATTCTTTTGGATAATAGTCCCATATTTATGACTGAAGCATTTCAAGTTTTAACATCTCAGCTGGGGATACATCGTCGAAATGCAATTTCCACCTAGGAATCATAATGCAAATTGTTTTTCTCCTTGGCCATCTCCGAGCTTCTAGAGCTTGTTCTCCTCCTGGAGAGAAGGAAGAAAGGACACATACAAGTTAGATACACAAGTGCAGGAGAATTTTTGTCAGATACCTTGATTGAAGAGTTGTTGACATACTCCCATGTCATAGGATTTGGCAACGAGCAAGAAAAGTTCCAATGCAGCAGCCTTGATGGATTCTGTGATTGATAGTAATGGGCTACTTGATGGGAGAAGAATGCAAAGTTTCACTCGTAGACAAGAGTGCAAGCCACCTCCACAAATGGCATAGCCTGGTCAGCTCCTTCCACACTCCCTTCTATGCACCAAAGCAAAAATCTCATCTTCCTTTAGTTCCTAGAAATTCCATAATGTTTTATTGGCAGAGGAAGTGAGCCAGTTTCAGCTGTGCCTTGACCTGAAAAAGACCAAAAAAGAAAAAAAGTGAGAATTGTAGTATTCACACTCTTGTTGCAAGATCTCAAGTTCTTCTCACCATCTTTTAACTTTGTTTCTGATATATGAAGTGTGTAGATAACCCTGAGTGTGGAAATAGACATACTTCTTGAGGATGAAATGCAATATAAATACTACGAAGCCATTCAGCTATACAGATGGTATGTATCATTTGAAACTCAAAGCTAGCATTCCAAAGCGAATCACTAGTGTGTTTTGACAACTCCATAATGGTGTTGATAATCCGAGATAGTATCAGCTAGAGAACCAATGAGTAGACTGTAATCTCCCATTGTCTTTTTTACACACTCCAGCCTCTAGCATTTGGCTTTGTTAACCTTCGAAAAGTCAATGATTGCATTTCATTCTTTCTCACAAGAAAAAACTTTCAATCACCTCTTCAAAGCTGAGCAAGACGTGTGAGCCCATTGGAGTTGTGGGCATCGCTTCACAAGAAGAACTTGGCTTTCAAAAGCATGAGGATCAATGCTGCAAAATTGTGCATTAGAGTTCTGGCATGATGCTTGAGCATTTCCTTGTCAATTAGAGGAACAACACCATCTGCAGCCTCTTCTTGTCATCCTGCTCCACCTGATTTACATGTTTTTACATTGAATTCATCAGTTCAAGGAAGAACAATAGCAAAACTTCATAGAATTCAAAAGAGTGAAAGCAAACACTTTGGTATGCTGAAAGAATTAAAAAAAGATTTAAATGAATCCATCAGTTTAAGGAAAAACAACAGCAAAGCCTACGAAAGAAAAGAAAAGTTTTAAGAAATCTAAATGCCAAAAAGAGTGAAAGCAAACAATTTGGTATGCCAAAAGCATTCTAGAACAAATAAATGTAAATGCCACAAACCAAAAAAAGAGCTCATAAAACCCACTAGAAAAAATAATTTACCAATAAATTGTTATGTGTTGCATGTAGTAATGCTTGGTTTACTTAATAGTATTGATTAAATAGAGTTTATAATTATAAGTATGTTTGTAATTTATAAACATAAGATTAATCTTATTGCATATCAACCATTAGATGATAGAATAAAAAAGAATATGCTAGAATGGGTTCAAGAAAGTATATAAATTATAAACATGTTTATAAATTATAAATACAAGATTAATCTAAATGAATAGCAACCGTTAAATGGTAGAATATCATAGAATATTCAAGTATATTCTAGATATATCCACTACCATCTTAATCAAGTTTGCTTAAGCAAACCAAAAAGTACATTCTAACCACCCCAAAGACAAAGTAAAGGAAGAGAAAACAAAGAGAGAAAGGAAGAACACCAAAATGCTGCTTTGGGCAAATGCTGTAAGGGAATAGAAGCAAATATTTGTTCTTGGATGGGAGAGGAGGCAAAACACCTCCTCATTTGTGTGGTTGGGTACTCGTTGCAAATCTCTATGAATTTCTCATACATGGTGTCCATATTAGGGAAATAAAGCACACCAATGCAGCCATGGACCTTGCAATTGGAAATCCTCCCACTGGCTTTAATTTGCCCTACCAATCATGAATTGGAAGCATAGTCATCCAATCTCCCAAGGCTAGAGGCTAAATGGGCTCTTCTGATCCTCCTTGTAGAAGCTGCTGGTGGTTTGGAGCTTGATCTGGGCATGTTGGGTCACCATTTAGATGTATTGCAGAGGCAATGGAGAAGCATTGATCCAATGCCGACCATTGCTACACAAATCTTGCATCCATTCTACATTTGGTGACTTATATAACATTTAGGAACCAAGGGTTAATGAGATTAACAACAGTTTAATTTTGGCATTATAGAATAGAATAGAATAAAGGGAAAATTACATTTATACCCCTCATTTGAAAAATTACAAATTTGATCCTACTTGTTACAGGATTCAAACACTTCACTTATATTGTATGTTTAAAATTTAGAGTCAACTAGATAATTATGGCAACAAATATGAAAAAGAATTATATATTTACATATATGTGGAGGTTTTTTTTTTTTGAGTTGATGCAAAAATATTACACAGTCACTTTTTAATTATTATGTATGCAATCAAAACATGTTTGTATGTACAATATTTTCTTTATGGTGTATATCATGTATATATAAGGCATAACACCGTAGATTACCAAGTGTATCTCATTTCACACAACTATGGCTTATTTCTTGTGTTTTATAGGCATATTTTGATTGCAATGAGCGATATAAAAAATCTCAAGAGGTTATCCAAGTGAATTATTCAAACAAAAAAAAACCTAATCCCAAATATTCTAAATATTTAACCAATTGGAAAAAAAATTGTGTTTTTGTTCATAAACCCCTTCTTTTTATATTTGAATCTTTATAGATCATTTTTTGAATTTTTTTCTTTGGTTGCTTACATACAATAATAAGGTCAAAGCATTTCTTTGGGTGTTGCATTAGTTTTGCTATGAACAAGTTGCAACCATGGTAAATTGTTAATTTTATTGATTTCTCATATACATGATTTATTGTGTTTGGGAAAAGCGTTTATCATTATCATCACCAAAGAGATAGCCCTAAATAGAAATTTTAGCTCATAACATCCAAAATGCACTCAAAATCCAACTCACATGCTATAAAATATTATGAGGTACTTGAGACATTAAACACACTTATTATTCAAACAAAAGAACTTACATCCATGTCAACACACTTCAATCAAAGCAAAAAAAAAACACTATTTACTTTAAACACACTCCAAAAAATGCTATTAAACACAAAATTTAGATGAAGTCTAATTTAACCCATTGCTTCATATTTTTATTGTCTAGCTTTGAAATTCTTGAAATCTTAGAATTCTCTATATATGCTATAGCTCTGCCATCTCACATCACTACCCTAACCACCTCTTTGATCACGAGTTAATGTGGTATATGTAGGAATGGCTAGACTTTATATATTTTAATTAACAGATGAAGTCTAATATAAATTTTAAAAAGAATACTTTTCTCTTTATAATTATGTGGAATAAATAGCTATAAAGAGGGAGGGTTTGACTAAAGAATTCAAGGAGGATACCATTATTGAAGTCATATTATTTCATTTTTATTATAATATTTAAATTTAATATAACTCAAATTCCACATTTATAATATAAAACTAAAAACTAAAATTTTTAAAGTTTTAATAATAGATGAAACACATTAAATGTAAGTTATTATTTATTATATATTGTGAGTGCTTGGAATATGGAAAGGGAATACAGAAAATGTGCATATCAATTAGCCCAAAAACCCTAGCTTATATACAGGAGCGAGTG